CACATATTACTATATCTACCACTACTATAGATAGAACTATATAACTATAGATAGAACTAGATCTACTGTATCTACTGAAACTAATTCTGGTCTCAGTAGAATTAGTAAAATAACCTCCAGCTTTTCTTTCTTCTATCCTTACTCTTCTCTAGTAAGACGGAAATAATTATTATCTTCTTAAAACATGAGCAAGATCAGCAGCACCTGGGTGGCTCAGTCGGTTAAGCATCCAACTTCAGCTCAGGTCATGATCTCACAGTTTGTGGGTTCAAGCCCCACGTTGGGCTGTGTGCTGACAGCTCAGAGCCTGGAGCCTGCTTCAGATTCTGGGTCTCCCTCTCTCTCCGCCCCTTCCCCACTCATGCTCTGTCTCTCTCTTTGTCAAAAATAAATGAAACATTAAAAAATAAAAAATACAAAACCATGAACAAGATCAAGTCAGTCATTTGCTTAAAATGTTTCTCAATTTCCCTTAAAGTGAAAGCAATGTCTTTAACATGGCTTACCTAGAAGGCCCTATTTGATCTGGCTTTCCTTTCTTTTTTCTAACCTCCTCCCTATTGTTCTTCCATCCCTCCTTTATTAAATCCCAGCCACAATGATCACCTAGCTGAACTAAAATACCCTGCTTGATGCTTTTGCTCTATTTTGTTGTTGTTGTTTTTTAATTTTTTTTTAATTTTTATTCATTTTTGAGAGACAGAGCATGAGCAGGGGAGGGGCAGAGAGATACAGAATCCGAAGCAGGCTCAAGTCTCCAAGTTGTTGGGGAGACACAGAATCCAAAGCAGGCTTAAGGCTCCAGGCTGTCAGCACAGAGCCCAACACGGGGATAGAATCCACGATCCACGAGATCATGACCTGAGCCAAAGTTGGGCGCTTAACTGACTGAGCCATCCAGGCACTACTCTATTTGTTTTACCTGGAATGCCCTGGGCCTTCATGGAGTTCCAAGTTTGTGCTAAAGTTTCAAATTTACAATGCAATCTATCCAGACCACTCTATTTAATAAAACAAACATCCCCACAGCTGCCATGCCTTATTCCCCTTACCTTACTCTTCTTGTTATTTTCCCATAACACTTAGAACCTTTTTATAAGTTTCCTAATTTTACTTATCCAGTACATGTATTGCTCATTCTCACTGATACTGGAAGGTAAGATCCTTGAATACAATATTTTTTGGTCTCTTTTTCACTGATGTATCTCAAGTGTGCAGAACAATGAATGCATCAGAATAGGCACTCAAATACTGATTGGATGAGTAACTTAACAAATATGTTAATTACCATTAAAGTTAAACTGGTTTTTTTGTAATTTATTCTCCTTTGAATAAAGTATTATGACAAATGAAGGATCTGACAATATTTCTTGAGTGTGAATTTGTAAAAAATTAATTTTCCTATAGTTCTGGTCAATTTATATACAAATGAACTATCTTATTACTGAACACAATGCTATTTGTATGGATGTCACTTCAAATTATGTGAAAGAAGAAAAGATTTCATTATTCTGTTGTTTGAATATTTGAACCCAAATTCTCTTCAAACTTTCTAAAATATGTCACATTAGCAAAATTGTTCATACTTTCAAGTCGAAGGACTAGAGCAGCAACTTGCTAAACAATAGTGTGAAGATGTGAAACAACCAATAAACTTCCAAAAAGTTTTTCTTCACTAAAGGAAATATCCTAAAATATTGGAAAACCTCCTGACCTCACTTTCTTACACCATTTACAAAAATGAATTCAAAGTGGATTAAGGACCCAAATGTGAGACCTGAAACCACAAAAAATCCAGAAGAAAGCACAGAAAGTAAATAATTTCTCTGATACTGGCCATTGTAATATTTTTCTTGATGTGTCTTCTGAGGCAAGAGAAACAAAGGAAAAATAAACTATTGGGACTACATCAAAATTAAAAGTTCCTGCACAGAAAAGCAAATAATCAACAAAAAAAAGGCAACCGACAGAATGGCAGAAGATATTTACAAATGACACATCACATGGACATCTATAAAGAACTTGTAAAACTCAACACACAAAAACAAACCATTCAGTTAAGAAATGGGCAGAAGACATGAATAGACATTCTTCCAAAGAAGACACACAGATGACTAATGAACACATGAAAGATGCTCAACACCACTCATCATCAGGGAGATACAAATCAAAACCATGATGAGATACCAACTCACACCTGTCAGAATGGCTAAAATTAATAATATAGGAAACAACAGATGTTGGCAAGGATGCTTACACTTTTGGTGGGAATAAAAACTGGTACAGCCACTCCAAAAAACAGTAAGGAGGTTACTCAAAAGGTAAAAATAGAACTACTCTAAACCAGCAATTGCACTGCTAGGCATTTACCCAAAGGATACAAAAATATTGACTAAAAAGAATACAAGCACCCTGATATTTATAACAGCATTACCAACAATAGCCATATTATAAAAAGAGCCAAAACATCCATGGAATGATGAATGGATAAATAAGACGTGGTGTATATATCTACTATGGAATATTTTTCAGCCATCAAAAAGAACAAAATCTTGCCATTTGCAACAACATAGATCGAGCTAGACTGTATTATGATAAAATAAGTCAGAGAAAGACAAATACCTGATGGTTTCACTCATGTGGAATTTAAGAAACAAAACAGATGAAACAGATGAACACAGGGGGAGGGAAACAAAAGAGAGGGAAGAAAACCATAAGAGACTTTTAACTATAGAGAATAAACTAAGCGTTCCTGGAGAGGAGATGGACATTAAGGAGGGCACTGGTTGTGATAAGCAGTGGGTGTTAACTGTAAGTGATGAATCACTAAATTCTACTCTTGAAACCAATATTACACTATATGTTAATTAACTAGGATTTAAATAAAAACGTGATATATATATACATATATAAAGAAATTATATAAATAAACACCAAAAAAATAATTCAATTAAAAAATGGGCAGAAGACATAAACATACATTTCTCTAAAGACAGATGGTCAATAACACATGGAAAGATTCTTAACAATACTAATCTTCATGGGAAAGCAAATTAAAAACACAGTAAGATATCACCTCACACCTGTCAGATTGGCTAAAATAAAAAACACAAGAAACAATAGGTGTTGGCACGATATGGAGAAAATGGAACTCTCGTGCACTGTTGGTGGGAATGCAAACTGGTGCAACCACTGTGGAAAACAAGTATAGAGTTTCCTCAAAAAGTTAAAAATAGAGGGGCACCTGGGTGGCTCAGTCCGTTAAGTGTTTGACTTTGGCTCAGGTCATGATCTCATGGTTTGTGAGTTGGAGCCCTGCATCAGGCTCTGTGCTGACAGCTCGGATTTTGTGTCTCCTTTGCTCTCTGCCCCTCCCCCATGCATTCTCTCTCTCTCTATCTCTCTCTCTCTCTCTCTCTCTCTCTCTCCCTCTCTCTCAAAAATAAACATTTATTTTTTAAAAAAAGTTAAAAATAGAATTACCATTGCCCTACTGAGTATTTACCCAAAGAATACAAAAACACTAATTCAAAAAATATATGCAGCCCTATGTTTAGGCAGCATTAATTACAATAGCCAAATTGTGGAAGCATCCCAAGTATCCATCAATAGATGAATGGCTAAAGAAGATGTGATGCACTCACACACACACACACACACACACACACACAATGAAGCATTTCTTGGCCATAAAAAAATAATGAAATTTTGCCATTTGCAACAACATAGATGGATCTAGATAGTATAATGTTAAGTGAAAAAAGTTAATCATAGAAAGAAAAATACAATATGATTTAACTCATATGTGGCATTTAAAAAACAAATGAACAAAGAAGAAAAGAGACAAACCTACAACAGACTCTTAACTCTAGAGATCAAACTGATGGTTACCAGAGGAAGGTCAGTGGAGGAATGGATGAAGTAAGTGATGGAGATTAAGACTACACTTATGACGATGAGCACTGAGTAACCTATAGAATTGCTGAATCACTATATTGTATACCTGAAGCTAATATAACACTATAGGTTAACTACACTGGAATTAACATACAATAAAAATTTTTAATTAAAAAAATAAAATAAAGGAAATCTGCTGACCTCTTAAACAATTGCATGACCACTTAGTTGACACAAATACAGACTGAAATTTAAACTCCCCCAGGGAGAACTATTGGAATTAAATAGCAAGTGTATTTTCATGACAGTGAGAAATTGTTCTCAACATTCTGACAAGTATATTTGGAACAAAGACAGAAGAACACAGTACAGTGCACTTCAAAGTTTTATAGTAATTCAATATGAAATTACTAGGCATTTATAAATATTATTCTGCTTGTGAACTAACAGACCTAATTAAAAGTTGTGGGACTGAATAACATGCTACTTTCCATTGAGTTTTTATATTTTAGGTTTTCATATACAATTCATAAGGTATGATTTTAAAATGTTTCAAAAAGGACTATGGAGGCATTATAATCCTTTATAAGTCAGGTTGCTATCACTGGAAATTCCAGGCTACAAAAGTTTCCTCAAGGTTTTGGACTGGAAATATAAATCATATTTTTACTTCCTTCTGTACTGCATAGTACCTATATGGAGCCAAATACATAGTTGATACTTAATAAATATTTATTAAATAATGAAAGAGTAATGATAGTTACCTTGACATATAACTGAATTTCTTAACCTTAATAATACCTTGCATGAATTCTTGAAAAATGAGATTTTTTTTTTCCAAATAGCTGCTTTTTAAGTGCCTATTGCTTTAGGGCAGTTCTACTTAAGCTACCATTCACATCAGCACACTGATTAATCCCATTAACACTCCATCTATCCTTTTGCTGAAATGGTATTTCTCTTTTATCAAACATATAAAGGCAATTACAGTAAATGGCTCTATCCATTTATATCAGTGATTTTACACATTGTTCAAACCGTATTAAATAAGGTGCCATCTCAATATTTAACATTTCAATAAATTTTAGGACAAATAGACTTACTGTAACTTGAAAGTAGAGGTGAAATCTCTTGAAATTTAATCTTCAATGTCTTTTTCCTAAGAATGAAAGGTATAAAAAAAATGATAAACATTGTTTAGTGCTGGATTGAGCCATATGCACCAAAACTTCATATTTTTCCTGGAATCTCAGAATAAAAACTTATTGGAAATAAAGCCATTGCCTATGTAATTATTTCAGTTAACATGAGGTTTCTACTGGAGTAAGGCGGGCCCTTACCAATATGACTGCTGTCTGCTATCGTTCTAAGGGGAAAAAAGACACAAAGACACATGCACAATGGAGACAACTATGTAAAGACAGAGGGAGTGTGGAGTGATGCATCTACAAGCCAAAAAAAGAGCAAGAATTGCCTGCAACTACCAGAAAGTAGGATGAGACAAGTAATCATCCTCCTCTAAAGCTTCAGAAAGTGACAGCACCTTCATTCTGGACTTCCAGCCTCCAGAACCAAGAGAATAAATTTCCTTTGTTCTAAACAAACCCAGTTTGTGGTACTTTGTTAGGGAAACCCCAGGAGACTAACTTACTTTTTGCTTAATCAATTTATGTGCAATATAAAAATCTATAATTTACGTGGCCACCTCACCCCCTTCTACAACCCCCAAGTCAATGAAGTCAATGAGAAACTGGATGTTTTAACACTTTCTATTTCAAGAAACATGGCATACATTTTGGAAATGTCTGTGACTACATTTCAGTGATTAGTCACTTCAAATCTGTGACACTAAGGAAATTTATTTTATTTAAGAAAACAGGTATATCTTTAAATGTTTATATAGAAATACTTCCATATAAGAATATTCATATACATAAAACAATTCAAATTTTAATTAAAAAATATTTGAAAAACTTTTCCTTTTAGCATTTACTAGTCACAGAGACTGAGACACTCTGAAGGTAATGAATTGTCAATAAGTGGCTTAAAAATTGAAAATTCCAATTCTGGATTTAGGGTTTTAAGGCAATATTTTACACAATAGGCTCTTATGTTAAGAAGTGGGCATATATCTGTACACTAGTTTCATATTTTTCCAATATTTATTTCATCCTTCCCCAAATAATGCAGTCATCCCACCTATAAGTCACTTTCCTCCCCTCAAAAACTATGTTTCAGCCTAGACAGCTAGCTTTGAAAAAATGGGTAAAATATGTTGCCAGACATTATCCTAGTCATGAAAATGTCTTTTTTAATATACTCACTCCATAAAAATAGAGAGAAAATGAATTCTACTTTAATAAGATAAACTGGTTGTGTGTGTGTGTGTGTGTGTGTGTGTGTGTGTGTGTGTGTGTGTGTTTAAGAAACACTGAACAAAAGAGTTTGCTCTCTGCTCTGAACAGAACAGAAATATTGATTTTGCATCACTCAATCCAGAAGATCCAACAGTGCTGGAGAATTTATAGGCCATAGAGGGGAAACTAGATGATTATAGCTATACTACAACTTGCATTGTGTTAACTAATAATTACTAATTTCCCAGCATTACCTCTAGTTATGCAGGAAATCGTGTTTTTATTGTCCTTCCTTAGCTAATAACTAGGTATTTTGAAATTCTCTGTGTTTTGTACATTAAAAAATCATCTATGTGTCCTTATGTTTATTTTTGTCCTATCAATACACATCTCTGCTACTTCTCAAAGTCTGGACAAAAGAGGCAGTACAATATGCTAAGAAATATGATGAGAGAGTGAATTAGTGAGGACTGGAACTAGAATCCCTGTGGGCTTAAAGACGAAAAACATCCAGGTTGTCATCTTATAGTAATTTTTCCTTTTTATATTTTATCCATGGATAGTATTCATCCAATACTCCAAAAAGTTTAAAAAACTTTATTATAGTGTTTAAAAAACACTATAATACATTATTTCTGTTCACCATCTTATATCCTTAACTCATTTTTAAGCAATTTTAAATCAGGTTGAATAACAAGTTATACTTAGCTACATATTTGGTTGTTCGTATTTGGCACAATGACTTTAGACAAGTAGTGAGGAACTCAGAGTCACATAATTCATGCTTTTCTAGTTTATCTCTGATTGATTATGACTTGTACTTTTCTTGGATCTCTTTTAAAATAACACTGAAATTAAACTAATGCTGTGTACAATTCCTTCCCTTAGGATAGTATCTATAACCAGAACAAAAAACATTGAGCTGAATTAAGATTTTATTTTAGGTACAAAATTGAAATTAGATATAAGTTAAGTAATATATGAGAAAGTGCTATGTGTAAAATTATAGAGTGGTATTTTAGAATTCCCCTGGAAAGCCATCCGGCCCTGGACTCTTGTTTGTTGGGAGAGTTTTGATTACTAATTCAATTTCTTTACTGGTTATGGGTTTGTTCAAATTTTCTATTTCTTCATAAGGTGCTAACTGTAAAAGTTCATTTTAGTAATGATTTAAAATACAAAATATATTAAACCTGTAGTTAAAAAAATATTCTTTGGAATGTGTTGGTTTATCAGCAATTTTCAGGATCTGATATTCATAACCATTAATTAATGAGTTTGTTGATATATGTTATAATTGTCAAATTAATAGAACCTTGTCTATTAAATATGTATGTGCTTTTCTAAACTTTATTTTCGTTGATGCAAAACACTTCATTGGATATACTCATGGTAAAGCCTACTAGAATCTGAAGCAATTCTTTCTACAGAAATGTTTGCTTTTGTTTTTACTCTTGAACCAATACCTCTCCTGTACTATAGAACTTAAGTCTCTACATATTAAGAAAATTTTACAGAGGAAATTTGTTAAGTGGTAATATAGTATTCTGTATTTTGATTCTGTTGCTATTAAACACATATTTGCTTTAACAGTGACTTTCTTTTATGCTGGACGCATAGAATAAATATAGGTTGAAGTTTTTACCTAGTGAAAAGTCACACTTCTCCTAATACAATTGTCTCTATATAGTGCAAGTGTACCTCAGTCTAGGAGTCTTAAAACTCAGTGACTTGAGGGAGGGGCCAAGATGGAGAGCAGCATGGAAGGTTTTTTTGCCTCTCTCTTTCCTGAAATGCAGCTAGATAAACACCAAACCATCTTGCACACCTAGGAAACTTACCTGAGGATTAACACAATAATCTGCACAACCTGAACCACAGAACTCGGCAGGTACGTGGCACGGAGAGGTGAATTGGGAGTGAGAAAAGCCGTGGAGAGAGAAAAGAGAGAGGGCGGAGAGCACAGGAAAAGCACTCCCCATTGAAAGCAGCTGGAGAGAAAGAGATAGAGTGGAAACACATGCAAAGGGACTGAATGAAAAAGGGAGAAAGGAGAGGGTTTAAATTCCATTAAGATTCTAAATAACAGGGGAGCACAGCTCAGTACCTGGTGGTGCTCTGCTGGGAAGGGCAAATCTCTAGGAGCAGACAGCAAGGTCCGAAGTGTCCCCAGGCCACATGGGGAATGGCAGTTACCCTTCGCCACAGGCAAAGGTCCCAGCAGACCCCCAGAGAAGAGCCACTTTCACTGGTGTTGAAACAAGGACATTAAGGGTGAAGCCTCGTGCCAGATGTGTGTTGTGATTTACCATAATCTCTGAAACAATGCTGCTACACGATCACACAACTTTTTAGTGGTGGGTTGGCACCCGACCTGCAGTCTCCGGGCATCCACAGCAGCAGAGTCACAGGAAAATTCCTGGGGGCAGACAAGCACCCAGCCACTGCTCAGCGAGACCCTCCCCCAGGAGGGTCTGAGTGGGTCAAAGCTGCAGAGCCCTCAGAAGAGAGGGGTTTGGAAACACAACCCCATGTGAGATAAAACACGGGAAGAAGGTGCCACCTGGCAGGCTGATAGCTTGGTCAGATACAGTTTGGTAGCAGGAAATGGACGGAAGTTGGAGACAAAGGAGGGGTGCTTGATTGCCAGTCTTCAAGAGCACAGAGTTCTGATACCAGGGAGGAAGTAGTTGGTGACGCCATTTCACTTCTCCAGCCCAAGAGCAGACACCACAAAGGATCCACCGCAGTGAGCTAAGCAACGCCATCTAGTGGAGAATAGAGCCATTACACCAAGCCCTGCCCAACTGAGCGGACTGCACTCTAGATGAGCACCATGAGTCTCTCCACCTGCTTAGTTTACGAACTATAAAGTGCTTCACAGTTTGACTCCTAGGGGAAACTGGATGTAATTTCAATCATATTTCATTCTCTTCACTGGTCTATCTAATCAACTTTTTTCTTTTTCTTTCCTTTTCTTATTATTGAATACAGAAAGAAAAAAAATTATTTTTACTTTCTGTTTATATAAAAAAGATTTTTCTTTAATTTTTTCTACTCTATTTTTTACTTTTTTGTAATTTTTTTCAATTTTACTTTACTTTCATCATTTCATTTCATCCTATTTTGTTGCATTCATTTTTTTAATTTGCAAACATTTTCCCTTACTCCCCCTCCTTTTTTTCTTTTTGTTTCTTTCCCTTTTTTTCTCTATTCTGTCAAGCTTCTTTCAACAACCAGACCAAAACACACCCAGGATCTAGCATCCTTTACTTGATTTTTTTTGTGTTGTTTTTAATTTTTTTAATTTTTACTATTTTTTTATTTTATTAAGTATATTTTTCCCTTCAAATGAAATGAAGGAATTCATCCTAAAAGAAAGAATGGGAAGAAATGACAGTCAGGGCTTACTCAACACAGACACAAGCAGGATATCTGGACAAGAATATAGAATCATGATAATAAAAATACTAGGGGGGGTTGAGAAAAGCAGAGAATCCTTTTCTGCAGAGTTAAAAGAAGAAAAATCTAGTCAGGACAAAGTTAAAAATGCTATAACTGTGATGCAATCTTGAATGGATGCTATGGAAATAAGGATGGATGTAGCAGAGCAGTAAAGCAGATATAGAGGACAAACTTATGGAGAATAATGAAGCAGGAAAAAAGAGGGAACCTAAGGCAAAAGAGCTTGATATAAGAATTAGAGAACTCAGTGACTCAGTAAAAGGGAATAACATCTGAATCATAGAGGTCCCAGAAAAGGAAGAGAGAACAAGGGGTAGAAGGGTTATGTGAGCAAATCATAGCTGAAAACTTTCCTAAACTGGGGAAAGACACAGACATCAAAATTCAGAAAGCACAGAGAACCTCCATTAGATTCAACAAAAACAGACCATCAACAAGGTAAATATCATAGTCAAATCCACAAAAGACACAAGCCCATGAGGAAAGGATCGTGAAAGCAACCAAGGAAAAAAAAAAGTCCTTAACCTACAAGGGAAGACAGATCAGGTTCGCAGCAGACCTGTCCACAGAAACCTGGCAGCCAGAAAGGAATGGCAGGTTATATTCAATGTGCTACATCAGAAAAATATGCAGCTAAGAGTTCTTTATCCAGCAAGGCTGTCATTCAAAATAAAAGGAGAGAGAAAAAGTTTCCCAGACAAACAGAAATTAAAGGAGTTCATGACTACTAAACCAGCAATGCAAGAAATTTTAAGTGGGACTCTCTGAGAGGAGAAAAGATGAAACAAAACAAAAAGACCAAAAACAACAATGACTAGAAAGTACCAGAGAATGCCACCAGAAATTCCAACTCTACAGGCAACATAATGGCAATAAATTCATATATTTCAGTGCTCACTCTAAATGTCAATGGACTAAATGCTCCAAATCAAAAGACGTAGGTAACAGAATGCATAAGAAAACAAATCCATCTATATGCTATTGACAAGAGACCCATTTTAGACCTAAAGACACCTTCAGATTGAAAGTAAGGGGATGGAGAACCATCTATCATACTAATGGTTGCCAAAAGAAAGATGGAGTAGCCATACTTATATCAGACAATCTAGATTTTAAAATAAAGACTGTAACAAGAGACAAAGAAGAGCATTATATCATAATTTAGGGGTCTATCCACCAAGAAGATCTAACTATTGTAAAATTTATGCTCCCAAAGTGGAAACACATAAATATGTAAATCAATTAATGACAAACATAAATAAACTCATTGATAATAATACCACGATAGTAGGAAACTTCAATACCCCACTTATAGCAATAGACATATCATTTAAACAGAAAATCAATAAGGAAACAAAGGCTTCGAATGGCACACTGGACCAGATGACTTAACAGATATATTCAGAAAATTTCATCATAAAACAGCAGCATACACATTGTTCTCGACTGCACTGGAAAATTCTCCAGAATAGATCACATACTGGGACACAAAGCAGCCCTCAACAAGTACAGAAAGATGGAGATCATACAGTGCCTATTTTCAGACCACAACACTATGTAACTCGAAATCAACTACAAGAAAAAATTTGGAAAGACAACAAATACTTGGAGACTAAAGAACATCCAACTGAAGAATGAATGGGCTAACTAAGAAAGTAAAGAGTAAATTAAAAAGTATGTGGAAGCCAATGAAAATGAAAACACAACCCAAAACCTCTGGTGTGCAGCAAAGACATCATAAGAGGGAAATAGATAGTAACCAAGGCCTTCCTAACTAAGGAAGAAAGATCTCAGATACAGAACCTAACCTTACACCTTAAAAAGCTGGGAAAAGAACAGTAAATAAAACCAAAACCAGATTAAGAGGGGAAATAATAAAGATTAGAGCAGAAATCAATGCTATAAACAACAACAACAACAACAACAAAACACTAGAATGGACCCATGAAACCAGGAGCTGGTTCTTTGAAAGAATTAACAAAACTGATAAATTCCTAGCCAATTTGGTCAAAAAGAAAATGGAAAGGACACAAATAAATAAAATCAAGAATTAAGGAGAGGAGATCAGAAACAACACTGCATAAATAAAAACAATAATAAGAGAATATTATGAGCAATTATATGCCAATAAATTGGGCAATCTAGAAGAAATGGACAAATTCCTAGAAACATATAAATCACCAAAACTGAAACAGGAAGAAATAGAAAATTTGAACAGATCCATAACCAGTAAAGAAATCAAATTAAAATAAAAATCTGCCAACAAACAAGAGTCCAGAGTTGGGATGGCTTTCCAGGGGAATTCTACCAAACATATAAAGAAGAGTAAACACCTATTCTTTTGAAGCTGTTACAAAAAATAGAAAGAGAAGGAAAACTTCCAAACTCATTCTATGAAGCCAGCATTACCTTGATTCCAAAACCAGATAAAGATCCCAATAAAAGGAGAAATACAGATCAATTTCCCTGGTGAACAAGGACGCAAAAATCCGCAACAAGATATTAGCCAATTGGATCCAAAAATGCATTTAAAGAATATTCACCACAACCAAGTGGGTTTATACCTGGGATTCAGGGCTGGTACAATGTCTGCAAAAAAATCAGTGTGATACATCACACCAATGAAAGAAAGGACAAGAACCATATGATCCTCTCAATAGATGCAGAGAACGCATTTGACAAAATAGAGCATCCTTTCTTGAAAAAAACCCTCAAGAAAGTAGGGATAGAAGGATCATATCTAAAGATAACAAAGGCCATATATGAAAGACCTACCACTCATATCATTCTCAATGGGGAAAAACTGAGAGCTTTCCTCCTAAGGTCAGGAACATGACAGGAACATGACAGGGATGTCCACTGTCGCCACCTTTATTCAACATAGTATTGGAAGTCCTAGCCTCAGCAATTAGACAACACAAAGGAATAAAAGGAATCAGCAAGGAGGAAATCAAACTTTCACTCTTCGCAGATGACATGATACTCTACATGGAAAACCCAAAAGGTTCCACCAAATAACTGATAGAACTGATTCATGAATTCAGCAAAGTCGGAGGATATAAAATCAATGCACATAAATTTGTTGCATTCCTATACACCAATAATGAAGCAACAAAAAGAGAAATCAAGGAATCTATCCCATTTACAATTACACCAAAAACCATAAAATACCTAGGATAAACCCAACCAAAGAGGTAAAAAATCTACACACTGAAAACTATAGAAAGCTTGTAAAAGAAATTGAAGAAGACACAAAAAGATGGAAAAACATTACATGCCCATGCTTGGAAGAACAAATATTGTTAAAATGTTTATACTACCCAAAGCAATCTACATATTCAATGCAAACCCTATCAAAATAACACCAGCATTCTTCACAGAGCTAGAACAAACAATCCTAAAAGTTGTATGGAACCAGAAAAGACCCTGAATAGTCAAAGTAATCATTAAAAAGAAAACCAAAGCTGGAGGTATCACACTCCCAGACTTCAAGCTATGCTACAAAGCTGTAACTATCAAGACAGTATGGTACTGGCACAAGAACAGACACTCAGATCAAGGGAACAGAATAGAGAGCCCAGAAATGGACCCACAAACGTATGGCCAACTAATCTTTGAAAAAAGCAGGAAAGAATATCCAATGGAATAAAGACAGTCTCTTTAGCAAATGGTGGGAGAACTGGTCAGCGACATGTGGCAAAATGAACCTGGACCACTTTCTTACACCATACACAAAAATAAACTCAAAATGGATGAAAGACCTAAACATAAGACAGGTAGCCATCATAATCCTAGAGAAGAAAGAAGGTAAAAACCTCTTTGACCTCAGTTGCAGCAACCTCTTACTCAACACATCTCTGGAGGCAAGGGAAACAAAAGCAAAAGTGAACTAGTGGGACCTCATCAAAATGAAAAACTTCTGACAGCAAAGGAAACAATCAGAAAAACTAAAAGGCAACCGGCGGAATGGGAGGAGATATTTGCAAAGGTCATATCAGATAAAGGGTTAATATCCAAGGTCTATAAAGAACTTATCAAACTCAACACCCAAAAAACAAATAATCCAGTAAAGAAATGGGCAAAAGACATGAATAGACACTTCTTCAAAGAATACATCCAGATGACTAACACACATGAGAAAATGCTCAACATCACCCATCATCTGGGAAATACAAATCAAAAGCACAATGAATTACCACCTCACACCAGTCAGAAGGGCTAAACTGAACAACTCAGGCAACAACAGATGTTGGCAAAGATGCAGAGAGAGAGGATCTCTTTACACCACTGGTGGGAATGCAAA